CTCTTAGGAATCTACAGGGTCCTCTGACCCAATAAGTATTGGTTCAATTTCCTTTGTTGCAATATCACTTCAGGTATTTGTGTGTCCTGGTGCTCATCTTCATTTCTGTCTTAATATCTTCTTTGTTGTTTTTTTTATCCTATTCAACAAACATTTATTAAATGCCAGCTGTGTGCAAAACACTGCTCTTGCTTTCTTAGTCTTTTTTATTATTATTATTTCATTTCTTTTATTTATTTATTTATTTTTAGTTTTCAACATTCACTTCCACAAGATTTTGAGTTCCAAATTTTCTCCCCATCACATCCCTCCCCCCACCCCAAGATGACATGAATTCTGAATACCCCTTCCCCTAATTTGCCTTCCCTTCTATCTCTCCCCCTGCTTCTCTTATCCCCTTCCCCTTCTATTTTCCTGTAGGATATAGATTTCTATACCCCATTTCTTATATTTCTTATTTCCCAGTTGCATGTGAAAACAATTTTTTTAACATGTGTTTTTAAAACTTTTTATGTTCCAAATTTTGTCCCTTCCTTCCTCCTTACCCACCCTCATTGAAAAGACAAGCATCTTGATACCGTTTATACATGTGTAGTCATGCCAAGCACTTCCATAGTAGTTATGTTGTGAAAAACTAACCATATTTCCCTTCATCCTATCCTGCCCCCCATTTATTCAATTCTCTCTTTTGACCCTGTCTCTCCTCAGAAGTGTTTGCTTCTGATTACCCCCTTCCCCAATCTGCCCTCCCCTCTACCATCCCCCTGCTCTCTTGTCCCCTTCCCCCCCATTTTCCTACAGGGTAAGATAGATTTCTGTACCCAATTGAGTGTGTATGTTAATGCCTCCTTAAGCCAGATCCTATGAGAATAAGATTCACTCATTCCCTCTCACCTTCCCCCATTTCCCCTCCACTGTAAGAGCCTTTTCTTGTCCGTTTTACGTGAGATAATTTACCCCATTCTACCTTTCCCTTTCTCCTTCTACCAGTATAATCCTCTCTCACCCCTTAATTTTATTCTCTAGATATCACCCCTTCATCTTCAACACACCCTGTGCCATCTATCTATCTATCTATCTATCTATCTATCTACCTATCTATCTATCTATCTATCTATCTATCTATCTATCTATCTATCTATCTATCTATACATACATACTTACACACATATAATTTTTTCCCTCCAACTACCCTAAAGCTGACAAAAGTCTCATGAGTTACAAGTATCATCTTTCCATGCAGGAATGTAAACAGTTCAACCTTAGTAAGTCTCTTATGATTTCTCTTTCCTGTTCACCTCTTCATGTTCCACTTGAGTCTTGTATTGGAAAGTCAAATGTTCTATTCAGCTCTGGTCTTTTCATCAAGAATGCTTGAAAGTCCCCTATTTCGCTGAATGACCATTTTTTCCCCTGAAAGATTATACTCAGTTTTGCTGGGTAGGTGATTCTTGGTTATAATCCTATCTCCTTTACACTATGGAATGTTATATTCTATGCCCTGCAGTCCCTTAATGTAGATGCTACTAAATCTTGTGTTATCCTAATTGTGTTTCCACAATACTTGAATTGTTTCTTTCTGGCTGCTGGCAATATTTTCTCCTTGACCTGGGAATTCTGAAATTTGGCTACAATATTACTAGGAGTTTTCCTTTGGGTATCTCTTTCAGGAGGTGATTGGTGGATTCTTTCCATTTCTATTTTGCCCTCTGGTTCTAAAGTATAAGAGCAGTTTTCCTTGATAATTTCTTGAAAGATTATGTCTAGGCTCTTTTTTTGATCATGGCGTTCAGATAGTGCAATAATTTTTAAATTCTTTCTCCTGGATCTGTTTTCCAGGTCAATTGTTCTTCCAATGAGATATTTCACATTTTTTTTCATTCTTTTGGATTTGTTTTACAGTATCTTGATTTCTCATAAAGTCACTAGCTTCCAGTTGCTCCATTCTAATTTTTAAGGAAGTATTTTCTTCAGTAAGCTTTTGGACTTCCTTTTCCATTTGGCCAATTTTGCTTTTTAGGGCATTCTTCTCCTCATTGGCTTTTTTGGACCTCTTTTGCCGTTTGGGTTAGTCTATTTTTTAATAGACTTTGGTATTTTTTTGGGTCTCCTTTAGCAAACTGTTGACTTGTTTTTCAGGATTTTCTTGCATCACTCTCATTTCTCTTCCCAATTTTTCTTCTACTTCTCTTGTTTCTCAAACTCCTTTTTGAGCTCTTCCATGGCCTGGGACCAATTCATATTTTTCTTGGAGGCTTTGGATGTAGGATCTTTGACTTTGTTGTCTTCTTCTGGTTGTATGTTTTGATCTTCTTTGTTACCAAAGAAAGATTCTGTGGTCTGACTTTTTTATACCTTTTTTTGTTCATGATCCCAGACAATTACTTGAGTTTTAAATTCTTTGTTAAGGTAGAGGTCTGCTTTCAGTGTGGAGAATGTACTGTCCCAAGGTCAGGGGCTTTGTGCAGCTGTTTTCAGAGATACTCCTAGGGACCTGTAAATTTTCAGTTCTTCCAAGGTGGTATGATAATGGACGAGGTGTTTACTCCTTTCCTGGCCTGTGCTCTGGTCTATGAGGGACCACAAGCACTCTTTTCTGCCTTGGAACTGTGAGGAGGATTTCCTCTCCACCACCACTACAAGCTCCACTACACCAGCACTCTTCCTTGCCCTAGAACCACCACACAGAACTGTGACCCAGATCCAAGCATGGGCAAAGCAAGAGAATCCTGCACCGGCAGAGAGTTCCCTGCTATCCACCTCTGATCATCCACTTGATTCCCCCTTAGTCTATGGGCCAGAAACTCCGGGAAGCAGCTGCTGCCCCAGGGCTGAGCTTGGGGACTGGAGCAGGGACTGGGGCTGGGACCGAGTTTCTCTCTCACCACAGTCACAGACTTTTCCCACTGACCTTCTAAATTGTCTTTGGCATTCATGGGTTGAGAAGTCTGGAAACCACCATAGCTGCCCACAATTCAGTCCTCTGAGGCCTGCTCCAGGTTCGCTGAAGCCTGTTTTGCCTGTGTGCACAAGCTGAACTTCTCTCCTCTCCCCGCCTGGTGCAATATACTTTCTGATCAATCATCCAGGCTGTCTTGGGCTGTAAATTTGTTTCACTCTGTCTTTTTGTGGGTTTTGCTGCTTTAGAATTTATTAGAGCCATTTTTTACAGGTATTTGTAGGGGTTTGGGGAAGAGCTCAAGCAAGTCACTGATTTTACTCTGCCATCTTGGCTCTGCCCCCTTCTTTGTTGTTTTAGCTGCTCATGCTTAAGGTTTCTGAGTTTTCTTCCTCTTAAGATCTTTAGTTTCAGTTTTCTCTTCTTATATTCACCTATCACTTTCTGACTTCTATATCATTGATTGTAGATTTCATTTATTAGCTGTCTACTGTTGTTGTTTGTCCTTTATTCTCAAAGAGGACCATGAGATTAGGGAGGTTATGCCATGACATGCAAGTGAATTGGATTTAAGTGAGGGAAGGCTGTGCAAAGTCAACAGCCTCACTTTTTCTTCCAGAGCCATCTGGGTCCAGTGATAAGATTTAGATCAGGATGACTAGAGATAACCCTGTATGCAGTGGGAGACATTGACCTTTTTAAGCTAAGGTCTTTAACAGGTCTCAGTTTGACTGAGGCAATCCCTGATCAGTGATTAAGGCTAGAAACAGATAGAGAATGGTCTCTTTTACCTAGTCAAAAAAAATCTATCTGGGAAAGGAAAACCCTTAGGGTTTCTGGCCAAAACAGAAAGAGTTGTTATTTAGATAGATTCTGAGCCAATTAGGGCCCAAACAATGACCAAGTGGGGCTTGGTCTGAGATCTATTTTTGGCCAATCAATGAGAGCAGGAGTGATTTGTGTATAAGGCATGGTCCTTAACAGCTCCTATCTTGTGAGAGGCTCTATTTCATCAGTGATGAAAATTTATATTCCTCTGGGCAGAGCACCTTGAAGTCAGGGTATGATACCCTATGTGGACAGAGGGAAGGGAAGGGAAAGATGAAAGAAAAGGAAGAAGAGAAAGGAAAAAAAAAGAGGAAAGAAAGGAAGGAAGGAATTGTGTTCCCCAATTGGCCAGTTCCAGTTGGGTCCCCAGTGGGGCAGCTCCTATTAGTACTCACAGAGGTTGTTGTTTGTCCTTTGTACTCAAAGAGGACCATGATATTTAGGAGGTGATGCCATGACATGCAATGAATTGGATTTAAGTGAGGGAGGGCTGTGCAAAATCACCAGCCTCACTTTCTCCTCCAGAGCCATCTGTATCCAGTGGCAAGATATAGATCAATACAACTGGAGATGGCTTCTGACAGTAGCTGTATGACCTTGGGCAGGTGTCATTTCCTCCATATACCTTAAGAAATTCCCTAGGATTTATATGCTAAGTAATAAACAATGGTGATATATATTGATGGGGACATTTCTCTTTAGCTGATAAAATTACAGATTTTTCAGTCCAGTCTCATTTTGCAGAAGGGGAAACTGAGGTTCAGAGAAATTAGGTAATTTTTCCCAAGCTCACACAGTAAGTAACAGAGTTTAAATTTGAACTCAGGTCTTAGGATTCCAAATTCTTGCTCTTTCAACTATGGTAACTAAATAGGTAAGATGGAATCTGTCTCTTGATAACCTCATCAATAATCGTGGATTCAATTGCCACCTCTATAGAGATAATGTCTAGATCAATCTCTTTAACCTTCATCTTTTTTCTGAGATCTAATACCCCATCATCTGCTGTTTATTGTATCTTACATTGCATATCTTATTGTCTCAAAGTCAACATATTCAAAACAGAATTATCTCTTCCCTAAAAGACTCTTCCCTTTTAAACTCCCCTATTGCTATCAAAGATATTCTAGTCTCTCCCTGACAATTGCTGTAATATGCTATAGGATCTTTTCATTTTTTCATACAGACAAATAAGCACAAACATTAATGCTGGTAGGCAACTTTAATGCCATTGATATCCACAATAAAATTCTCCTCTAATTTCCTTCTCTAGTTCTTATACATCTGATTTACCTGCTTCTGTATGGAAAGATCTCTTCTCTGGGGTCAGCAAGAATCAGAACCTGAAAGAGCTCAAGATGTCCTCCTCTAAATTTTCTGATTCATGTATGGAAAACCTTTGTGTGATACTAAAAGATCCAAACTGTAAACTGGAAAAACTGACGTAAGTCTAAGTTGGTCCCATAGCTGGGATGGTGGCCTATGTGGGAGTAGGGAAAGTGAGGTAAAGAACTGAGGAAGATATGAAAAATAAGGTCTTAAGAGAAAAAGAAAGGATAGTCCAGAATCTAAATGAGTGGAAAGGTAGCACAGTGAAAAGAAAAATGGGGAAGATGAAATAAGAAAAGGGACATGTGGTCCTTTTTGCCACAATTATTTGGTATTATACTGGAAATACTAGTTATAATATTAAGAACAGAAAATGAAATTAAAGATACACATCTTAGCAAAGAGAAGACAAATTATCTCTATTTACAGATGACATGATGGTATACCAAGAAAACCCCAGAGAATCTGTGAATAAACTAATTGATAATAAGATCACAGATTTAGAGCTGGAAAGGGCTTTGGAGACCACCTAGTTCAATCCTCTTATTTTACAGATGAAAAAATCAGGCTCATTGACATTAAGTGACTTACCTAAGTTTGTACAGGTAGAACTTAAACCAAGGTCATCTGACTCCAAATCCAGTGCACTTTCTACTGCAGCATCAATAAGATTGCAGAGCACAAAATTTATACCCCTACACATAATGAACAAATTAGGTATTTCTGTAAAGTATGAACAAAAACAATGAAGAAACAATGATAAAAAAATCTATGTATCCAACTTTGGTCTTTCTCTTGAGTTATTGCCAGTAAGTTGTTAGACATTTCAAACTGCATATCCCTTAGGCATCTCAGATTCAGCATGTATAGATAGGCCACTGGACTTGGAGTCAAGAGGATCTGGGTTCAATTTTTGCCTGAAAGAGAACCCTGGACAAGTCATTTAACTTCCCTGTGCCTCAGTTTCCTCATCTATAAAATGAAGGGGACTCCAAGGTCTCTTTCTGTTCTAAATTTGCCATATTCATTAATCTCCTCTCCCAGTACTTACTCCTCTTCCCAGAGTCCCCTTTTCTGTTAAGGAAACCACCTTTCTTCCAGGTATACAGATTTGCAATCTTAGAGTTATCCTTAGTTTTTCATTCTTCCTCAACCCTTTTATACAATCAATTACTAGGTCTTATTGATTCTGCTCCCATGATATCTCTTACATACCTCCACTCTTTTCCACCCACATTTCTACAATCTTTATTTAAGCTCTTCTATCACCTCTCACTTCAATTACTGAAATTGCCTCCAAGTTGGTCTCCCTGCCTTGTGTATGTGTGTGTGCATGCATAGGTGTATATGCATATGTCTATATAAGTCTATCTATGTATAGAAGATATATATATGTATATATATATGTGTGTGTGTATATGTACATAATAGCATCATAAAATATTCTACCTAAAATGTATGTATATATTCACATATATACATAAATGTGTGTATATTCATATATAGACATATCAATCTCCATATATATGCATATATATCTATCTATATATATAAACACACATGCATACTTTAGATGTTTCCTGCTTTTTATAATTTGAATGAAATTTTGATCAATCAACAAGCATATATTAAACACCTGCTTTGTACCAGGCATTATACAAGGTGCTGGAGATAAAATGACAAGCATGAAAGAGCCTGTGCCCTTAAAGACCTTATTTACTATCTATCTAAAATTTACATGGGTATAGATAGACTATAAGGCCTTTAAGGGCAGGGACTGTTTCATTTTTGTTTTTGTATCCCTAGCATTTAGCACAATGCCTGGTTCTTAATGAAGACTTGTTGACTAATCAAAATCCATTCAAAATGACAAAAAGCAAAATAATATCTGGGAGTTAATCAATGAGATACACACAAGATTTATATAAATAGAATTTTTTACCAAAATAAAGGGAGACATAAAGAATTGGAGAGAGGTTAAAATGGCAATGCTCTTTTAATTTATGAGTTTGTTATGCCAATAAAGTTACTAAGGAAGCATTTTATAGAATCAGATAAAATAATAACAAAATTCATTTGGATAATCAAAAGGTCCAGTCTCAAGGGAAATGAGAAAATGTATAAACACAGGGCATTACCAGATCTCAAACTCTATTATAAAGCAGTAGATGTCAAATCTATTTGGTAGTGGTTAAGTCAGAAAAGTAGATAAGAAAAAGAACCAAGAAGAAACAGAAACCTTTGAAAACAGTATCCCACTGTTGGATAAACCCAAGAATGTAATTTACAAGGGGATGGATTCCCTTTTCAACAAGTCCAGCCATGAAAACTAGAAAGTAGTTTGATAGAAATTCGGTTTTGATTCTCATACCATGTACCATAGTAAACTCAAAATAGATTAGGTGAACTAAATATAAAAATTCACACCATAAAAATAATTAGATAAGAACAAGATCAGATACCTTTTATAACTATCAGTAAGGGAAATTTCTTAAATAAGAGAGAAAAAAGATCATAAAATATGAAACAGAAAACATTGACCATATAGTTCACTTCTACTCCCTCCACAACTCTCTGGAAAATTGTATTCTACTCCTGGAACTCTCCTTGACATTGATAGGCCAACTCTGACCTTATTTTGCTTGGTCCTGCACAAGGCCTATGCAACACTTCTCACACATCTCCACCTATGTTGCTCCCCCACCCCCAGATAATTGTCTTCCAACTGTTACCCTTTTTCTGTCCCTCCTTTATGTGTTGTTTTCCCCTATTAAAATGTAGGATCCTTGAAGAAAGTGAGTAGTTTGTTTTTATTTGTATCCCTAGCACTTTGCAGAGTTCTGGTCATCTAGTAAGTCCTTAAATATTTTATCTATCTGTCTACCTATCTATCAAGATGAAAGGAAGAAAAAAGTTATAGAAAATATTTCATAAACATCAATGATAAATATCTGATAACTTAAATGTATATATAATTAACACAAGAGATAATATGGGTCAATAGATAGGAACAAAAGAATGGCAGAGAATAAATGGCCACATGAAAATGTGATCCAAATCACTAATAGTAAGAGAAATATAAATTAAAATCACTCAGGTCTTATTTTTTACTATATAACTTGGTAAACACGACAAAAAATGACAACAGTCAATCTTGGAGCTACTTTGTGAATATAGGAACATTAGTACTCTGTTGGCAAGATGGTCAGTTTGTCCAGCTATCCATGGTTGAGCTAAAAAGTTAAAAATCATCCCTGTCAAATAGAAATCATTTTGCCCAATTGTATGCTAACAAACTGATCATTTAGAGGTAACAGGAATATTTGCAAAAATACAAAATGCCCAGATTAACAAAAAAAGAAGTAAGTTATTTCAATAACCCATTATCAGTTAAAAAGAAATTCCACAAGCCATAAATAAGTTTCCAAAGTAAAACTAAATTATATGACCAGATGGATAAGCAAGTTAATTTCAGCAATCATTCAGAGAATGATAAATTCTAATAATACATAAGTTTGCAATGATGAGAGAAGGCAACCTTCCAATCTCTTTCTCTAATATAAATAAAGTCTTGATAACTAGAGAGAAACAAAGCAGAGAAAGTAATCTAAATACCACTAACCCTAATGAACAGAGAAACAAAAATGATAAATAAAATGTTATTCAGAAGGCTATAGCAATATGTTATATGATCATACATAATGGCCAGGGTTGGTTCAACATATGAAAGACTATAAATATAATAGGCCATGTTAATAATACAAATAGTAAAAATCATATGATAATATCAATAGATGCTAAAAACCTTTTAAGTAAATCAAGTAATCCTTTTCTAATCCAAAATTCTAGAAATAATAGGCATCAATGGACTTTTTCTTAATAGAACAAACTATCTTTAAATCAAAGAACAAACCTTTTATACAATGGAGATTCCTTTCCAGTAAGATCAGGGGCAAAAACCCGACTGTTCATTACCACAACTGCTATTTGATGTAGTGTTAGAAATTCTAGCTAGAGCAAGAAGAAAAAAAAAAAAAACTAGAGAGAATGAGCATAGGCAATGAGAAAGCAAAATTATCCATTTTGCAGATGATATGATGATGTACTTGTAGAACTCTGGAGTCAAAAATTAATTGAAATAATAACTTCAGCAAAGTTGCAGGATATGATAAAATCACAAAAATTATCATTCCTCTGTATAACCAACAAAATACACAAGAAGAGCTAAAAAGAAAGTACATTCAGATAACTATAGAAGCTATAAAATATATGAGAGTATATCTACCATGATCCACCAAGAGACCCTATGAATCTCACTATAAAATACTCTTTGTTGAAATAATGGCAGACCTAAATAATTGGATAAATACTGATATTTCTCATTGGTGGGCCAGACCAATATATAAAAAATGACAATACTACCTAAATTAACCTTATTATTCAGTGCCATGCAATTTAAATTCTGAAAAGAATATTTTTAGAGATGTAGGAAAAAATAATAAAGTTCATATGGAAGATCAAAAGATTGAGAATATTATAGGTAACAGTGAAAAAGAAAGTGGGAAGGAGGGTGTCTATTAGGGTCATATCTCAAATGGTATCACAAAGCAGCATAAACCAGCTTGCCCCACCCCTAAACCAGCTTGAATCCCCCCTCACCTGAAAAAGGCCTAAAACCTGGATTGGCCAGTCACAAGAAAGACATTTTTGGTTCAGTCTGGACTTTACCTTCCATAATGATCAATCAGTGTAACAGATCAGGTGTGCAACATGGTTGTTGTGGTTTGTCCTTCATTCTCAGGAAAGTGATTACTTGACTTGTATGTGAATTAGATTTAAGTGAGGGAGGATTGTGCAAAGTCACCAGCCTCATTTCTTTTCTAGAGCCATCTGGGTTCGGTGGCCAGACATACCTCAGGACAACTGGAGATGGCTCAGGATGCAGTGGGGGACCTTAGCCTTTTCAAGCTAAGGTCTTTAACAAGTCTCAGTTTGACTGAGGCAATGCTCATTCTTTCTAGGATGTATTGTTGGCAAACTAGTGAGAGCCAGAGTGATTTGGGTTTAAGGCATGGTCCTTAAGAAAGAAATGTAGCCTGTAAACCCCAAGATACTTTGCAAGGTTTCAGGGATCAACATTTACGTTCCTTTGGGCACAGCATCCACAGGTAAGGGTATGATACCCTATGTGGACAGATGGAAAGGAGAGAAAGAAAAAAAGAAAGGAAGGAAGGAAGGAAGGAAAGGAAGAAAAAAGAAAGAAAGAAAGGCCATGTTGCCCAACTGGCCAGTTCTAGTTTGGTGCCTGATGGGCACGTCCTTTTGTTGTTTGTCCTTTATTCTCAACGAGGACCATGCCATCAGGGAGGTGATGCCACGGCTTGCAAGTGAATTGGATTTAAGTGAGAGAGGGCTGGGTAAAGTCACTAGCCTCACTTTCTCCTCCAAAGTCATCTGGATCCCATGTCCAGATATAGATCAGGACAACTGGAGATGGCCCTGGATGCAGTGGGGGATCTTGGCCTTTTCAAGCTAAGATCTTTAACAGGTCTCAGCTTGACTGAGGCAATGCCCATTCAGTTATTAAGACTTAATAAGAAATGAGGCAGAGAATGACCTCTTTATCTAGTAAAAAAAATCCATCTGGGAGGGGAAGACCCTCAGGATTTCTGGCCAAACCAGAAACAACTGCTATTTACATAGCAGTAAAGCCAATCTGACTATATTCTGAGCCAATCTGGGCTCAAACAATGACCAAGTGGGGCTTGACCTGGAAACTATTTTTGGCCAATAAATGAGAGCAGGAGTGGTTTGGGGTTATGGCTAGTCTTTAAGAAAGAATAAAACAAAACAAAAAAAGGTTTTCAAGATTAAAATTGACATTCCTTTTGGGCAGAGCACCTGCAGATAAGGGTGTAATACCCTATGTAGACAGAAGGAAGGAAGGAAGGAAGGAAGGAAAGAAGGATGGATGGTTGGATGTATTGCCCAACTGGCTAGTTACAGTTTGGTCCCCAGTGGACAACTCCTTTTCTACTCACTAAGGTTGTTATTTGTCCTTTGTTCTCAAACAGGACCATGACACATATGCAACATAAAGAAGTAAACTAACACAAGACAATATTGTTTGATAAGTAACTCAAAAAACCCTAGTTACTTTTGAGAAGGACTCACTGTTTGGAAAAAAAAAACTGCCAGGAAACTGCATAATAATCCAGTGGTAGAAATTAAGTTTAGATTAAAACAACACACCATATGCCAGAATAAGCTACATGCGGATATATAACCTCAATATAAATATTCACATCCTAAATTAGAGGAGTAAAGAAAAAATTTCCTTTCAGATCTATGGAGAGATTAAATATTCATGACCAAAAAATTAAGAGGGGATCACACAAGGAAAATTTGACAATTTTAATTATCTAAAATTCAAAAGCAAATATCTAATATAGTAAAAATTTCAAAGGCAAAGAGGTAACTGGAAAAAAATTTTTTACATCAAGTTTTTCTGATAAAGTTCCTATGTTCATAACATATAAGGAATCGTTTAAAATTTATATGACTAAAAGCCATTCCCCAATAAATAAATGGTAAAGGATATGAACAAGTTTTTCCAAAAGAAGAAGCTTAACAACATTAATGAAAAAAATGATTGAAATGAGTGAAAGTAAAAAAATTAAAAATGAGTCCAAGAACACTATAAATCACAAATAATTAGAAAAATGAAAATCAAAGCAACTTTGAGACTCTACCTCACACCTATCAGACTGGCAAAGATGACGGAAGAAGAAAATGACAAATGTGATAGGGGCTGTGGGAAAACAGGTACACCAGAGTGCCTTTGGAGGAGCTATGATTGGTCCAGTCATTCTGGAAAACATTCTGGAAATATACCCAGAAAGACCCTTAAATGTGCATAGTCTTTGACCCGTCTATACTACTACTGGGACTATACTCCAAAAAATTCACAGAAAAAGAAAGGGGATCTACGTATCCAAAAATATTTATAGCAGTTCTTTTTGTGGCAACTAAAAATTGGAAATTAAGGCGTTCTTCAATTGGGAAATGGCTAAACAAATTGTACTATCTGAATCTAATGGAATTCTATTGTGACATAACAAATGATAAAATGGATAGTTTCAGAGGTAATTGGGAAGACATTTGTGAACTAATGAAAAGCAAAGTGAGTAGAACTAGGAGAATAGTTTATACAATGATGACATTATAGAGAAAAACAACTGAACATGAGTCCAAGAGAAAGAAGACGAAATATACCCCTCACCTCCTGATAGAGAAGTGATTAACATCAAATGCAGGAAGAAACATAAATTTTTGGATATAGCCAATGCAATCATTTGAATAACATTAATATACCACATTTTGTCAGGATGTGCAGCTATGTATTAAGGCCATAATTGGGATTGGAATTGCTTTTTTCTTTGCTCATTTGGTTGGAGCCAAGGGGCATAGTGGAGCAGCAGCTAAATAAAGGAGATAGCCAGAAATTAAGGAATAGGTAAAGAAATTTTCACATATATACATAAAGGAATATCACATCATATATAAAATGATGACTAAAGACTACATATAAGCATGGGAAGAATTAACTGAAGGAATATAGAAGAAAGTAGACAAAACAGGAAAACAGCATATACATTGACTTCAACAACGTAAGTGGAAGAAAAAAGAAAAATCAAAACTGAATGTTGTGATATTATAATGATCAAATATTGCTTGAAGTAAGAGATATAAGAATATGCCTTCCTATTTTCATTTTGTAGGAAGGAGGATTGTAGATGTGTAGTGCTGCATGTAACACCAGATTTACTTCATATGTTGGCTGGTTTTGCTGAAATGTTTTTTTTTCCTCTTTTTTATTCTTAGTTATAAGGAACAGCTTTAGGAGTGGTAGATGGGGATATATATATACATATATATAGAAATGAAAGTGTCATTAAAAACAAGGGCTATCACTGAAAATTTTTTCAAAATAAAAAAAAAATTAGGTATGTCCAGCCTGGCTACAGTGGTGAAATGTCAAAGATACTGAGTGTTCTTGTCAAGAAAGAGGAGTTAAAATGATTCTTCTCTCTCTTACTATTCCTAATAATTCCTAATAAGCATCATTATCTTTCTCATTTTCTTCACCTTCATGTATCACATTTTTGACCCAATATAACACAGGCATGAGGATCAGAACAAGAAGAATGGGTTGGTAGATTAGATTAGGAAGGGGCAGTTTTTAAGGAAATTGAACTATTTAGGATGGAATGGGAATGTCAGAGGATAGTGGCTATAAAGAAATGGTGGCTCTGAGCTCCTTTCCAGAAAGAGAAGAAAGAAGTTAATCCTGAACAAGTGATTGATTTAACCTCTGGTTGTATGTCTCATGCAGGTTGGAAGGCTGCAAGGTAACTTACTGGTTTTGTCAGTATCTCTTCTCTGCTCCCTGTTTGAAAAGCCTGCACTTCAGTTATATGTCCTTTGTGGATGATGGCATGAAGCTGTCATCTAAGACCTTGGAGAAAATGAACTGTCAACTACAGACAGTAAGGTGAGTCACCATAGATGTCTTCTCTTCAGAGCCTCCTGAGCATTAGAGCTATAAGGTTAAAGTAAACAGGAAGAACAACACTGATTTGGGGAGGGTGACTACAAGTTGCCTGTCTGAGATGAGGGGAGGGCTTCACCCACTTTTATTCCTCTAGGGAAATTTGCACAATAGACCCTTCTCTTCATCTGGCTTTTGAGGACAGTTTATTCAGGAAAGTGCTCCCTTCATTCTGATATACTATTGAAATTTCTCTGACCTTCCCTTGATATAACCCCATGAATTGATTAAAGGTCCCCCTTATGTTGTCTTCCTCCTATGTTTCTTCTGCTAGAGGAAGTTTGTTCTGGTGTGAGATGGATGAATTGCACTGATAGGCAAATAATGGGGGAAAATAACCACTATTTCAGTGAATAAATGTTATTTAAAGGGTCCCTTTTTATGGAGGAAGAGTTTCTTTCATGCTTCTTCACCACAGCCTTCCATCTTTACAATATGCAAAATCAATGCCTGCTTAGCCTACTATTTTTGTAGCCCTCCGGTAGATTTGGGTCAGTGCCACCAAGGAGAGCAAAAGCAGGTTTATCATCACCATTGATACAGTAGCTCTTGTCTCAGATGAAGAGTTACTGGAGGTGGGGGAGGTGTTGAGGCATCATGGTACTGGCCCCAACCTGTGAAGAGGCAGAGATAGCAAGGTCAGGGAGAAGGTAGTCATCTCCTTTGGCTAGAGCACAGAGAGTGAGTGAACCAGGGTGAAATAGAGAAGGACCATCCCCACCACTTGTGGGTACTATTGTGGATACTATTTCTCTCTCAATACTTTTTTGGCTTCTATGTCATAAAATTAGCTTATATTGAGTTTATTGTTCACACACACACACACACACACACACACACACACATCCACACACCATCCTGTACTTACACAGCTGATTTTTTTTAACCCTGTTTAATAATACCTTCTAGAATTTTGTTTGGAATCCAGTTGAAGCTTCCTGGCCTCTTACTTGAAGAATATACCTTCTCCTCTTCTGAATACTGAGACATTGTCTCTCTTCAGTTCTGTGGCAATTCTTCTGTTCTTCCATGTCATTTCTAAATTTACTAACAGCTGATCCACCCATTAATTTGTTCCTTCAATTTCTTTTTCTTCTCCTATTTCTAAAGCTAACATTTCTAGTACAATATTGAACAACAGTGGTTATAATGGACATCCTTGTTTTACCTCCAATCTTATTGGAAATGCTTCTAGCTTATCCCCATTATATGTAATGCTTGCTGATGGTTTTAGATAGATGATATCATTTTAAGGAAGACTCCATTTATTCCTATGCTCTCTAGTGTGTTTAATAGGAATGGGTATTGTATTTTATCAAAAGCTTTTTCTACATCTATTGAGATAATCATATGATTTCTGTTAGTTTTGTTGTTGAAATGGTCAATTATGCTGATAGTTTTCCTAATATTGAACCACCCTTGCATTCCTGCTATAAATCCTACCTAGTCATAGTGTATTATCCTCAAGATAAGTTGCTGTAATCTCTTTGCTAATATTTTATTTAAAATTTTTGCATCTATATTGATTAGGGAAATTGTTCTATAATCTTCTTTCTCTGTTTTGGCTCTTTCTGGTTTAAGTATCAGCACCATATTTGTATCATAAAAAGAATTTGGTAGGATTCCTTCTTTACCTATTTTCCCAAATAGTTTATATAGTATTGAAATTAGTTGCTCTTTAAATGTTTTATAGAATTTACTTGTAAATCCATGTGGCCTGGAGATTTTTTCTTAGGGAGTTCATTCATGGCTTGTTCAAATTCTTTTCTTAAAATTTCTTTTTCCATCAATCTGGGCAATTAATATTTTTGTAAATATTCAACCATTTCACTGAGATTGTCAAATTTATTGGCATACAGTTGGGTAAAATAGTTACTAATTATTGTTTTAATTTCCTCTTCATTGGTGGTGAATTCATCCTTTTCATTTTTGATACTGGTAATTTAGTTTTCTTCTTTCTTTTTTTTTAAATCAAATTAACAAAAAGTTTATCTATTTTATTAGTTTTTTCATAAAACCAGCTCTTAGTTTTATTTATTAGTTCAATAGTTTTTTATTTCAATTTTATTAATCCCTCCTTTGATTTTTGGAATTTCTAATTTTGTATTTAATTGGGGATTTTTATTTTGTTCTTTTTCTAGCTTTTTCAGTTGCATACCCAATTCATTGATCTCATCTTTCTCCATTTTATTCATGTAAGCATTGAGAGATATAAAACTTCCCCTAAGAATTGCTTTGGCTGCTTCACATAAGTTTTGGTGTGTTGTCTCATAATTGTCATTCTCTTGGATGAAGTTAATTATTTTTTCTATGATTTGTTGTTTGACACACTCATTCTTTAGGATTGGATTATTTAATTTCCAATTAATTTTTAGTCTATCTTTCCATGGTCCTTTATTACATGTAATTTTATTGTATCATGATTTTAAAAGGATGCATTTGATATTTCTCCCTTTCTGCATTGAATTGTGGGGTTTTTATACCTTAATACATGGTCAATTTTTGTGTGGGTGCCATGTACCACCAAGAAAAAGGTATATTCCTTTCTATCCCCATTCAATTTTCTCCAGAGTTCTACCATATCTAACTTTTCTACAATTCTATTCATCTTCTTAACTTTTTTCTTTTTTATTTTGTGGTTAGATTTATATAGTTCTGAGGGGGGGAGGTTGAGGTCCTTTTATCTTTACTCTGTGTGTATCCTCTGCTTCCAAACAAACAGGCAGTTTTCAGAATAAGAAATTAAAGCTGTCTAGAGTGATATGAAAAAATGCTCTAAATCACTATTGATTAGAGAAATGCAAATCAAAATGACTCTGAGGTACCACATCACATCTATCTGATTGACTAATATGACAAAACAGGAAAATGATAAATGCTGGAGAAGATGTGGGAAAATTGGAACACTAATGCATTGTTGATGGAGTTGTGAACTGATCCAAAGATTCTGGAGAGCATTTGGGAACTATGCCCAAAGGCTATAAAATTCTGCATACCCTTTGACCCAGCAATATCACTTCTAGGTCTGTATCCCAAAGAGATCATAAAAATGGGCAAAGGACCCACAGGTACAAAAATATTTATAACAGCTCTTTTTGTGGTGGCCATGAATTGGAAATTGAGGCCCATCAATTGGGAATGGCCAAACAAGTTGTGGTTGAATACATGTATGTATGAATGTAATGGAATATCATTGTTCTATGAGAAATCATGAGCAGGCAGGCTTCAGAAAAATCTGAAAAGATTTATATGAACTGATGCTGAGTGAAATGAACAGAGCCAGGAGAACATTGTACACAGCAACATCCACATTGTGCAATGACTGACTTTGATAAACTTAGCTCTTCTCAGCAATGGATTTAAGACAACTCCAAAAGGCCCATGACAGAAAATGCTATCCATATCCAGAGGAAAAAAATATGGAATCTGAATGCAGATGGAAGCATACTATTTGCTATCCTTTTTTGTTTTGTTTTGTTTTGTTTCTTCTTTCTCGTGGTTCCTCCCATTAGTTCTCATTCTTCTTTACTTCATGACTAATGTGAAAATATGCTTAATATGAATGTGTAAGTAGAGCCTATATCAGATTGCACACCATCTTGGGGAGAGAGGAGGAGAGGAAGGGAGAGAAAATTTAAAACTCAGAATCTTATGGAAGTGAATGCTGAAAACTAAATTTAAATAAATTATTTTAAAAAATGTTTCTCCCCCATTCCTCTCCTAATTCTTAATCTATACATCCCTCTAAAAATTCTTTTCTTTTCCTATTCCCTTGCCCTCTTACTTCTTTTTTTTTTTAACATAATATAATTTTAATGGAATAGGAACCCAAAATCCCCAGGGAAAAAAAAAGATAATTCTATGTACTCCTTGGCCATCATGAGCAACAGCAAGAAATTATAGCATTTTTTCAAAAAGAATTAAAACTATTAAAAATACTAGAAATTAAGTAAAATACTGAAACTCTCATATTAGAATTAATCAAAACAAATAATAGTTTAGAAAACTTAAATCACTTGTTTGGAAATTTCTCTAAAGGATTAGAAGCTCTGAAATATAATTATAGAACTAAAAAAAACAGAAATAGAATGGAATTTGGCAGAAGTAAAAATCAGTAACTAAAAGATTATATGATTTGTATAAAAACCAAAGCAATTAGAAATTAAGTCAAGATACACAGAAATAACATAAAGAACCTTACTTCAGTTATAACACATATACTAATAAAAATGAAAAGATGAACCATCTACCAAATAGAAATATTTGAAGCATTCTAGGAAAAAGGGAGGTGGGCTCTCATTTGACTATTAATAATCCAAAACAAGAGAAATACAAGAAAAAAAATTATCATGGATCTTTTTTTCTTTTATGTTTAGAGGACAAATTTTATCCTTTGAAAATTGCTTATTATTTTCAATGAACAAAAATTAATCTTCTCTCCCTCCCACTTTTCATCACTTCATTTCAAAAGAAAGTAAAACAAAATTCTTGTAGCAAATATGTGCAGTCAAGAAAACCAAAGAAATTGATTTTTATATATCAATATATTGAAATATTTTACATGTGTATAACACAATATACATATACATGTATGTATGTATGTGTGTGCATATTTATATACCGATTTGTACCCTTAGTAGTCTATAAAATCTCTGTCACATGGGGTAGGTAGCATGTTTCAACATGAGTCCTCTGGAATTAGGTTGGTCATTGTTTTATTCACAATGCTTGTGTCTTTTAATGTTTTTTTATTTGTTTTTATTTTTATTTTTTTGCTCTACCTTATTTTTAAAAATTAATTTATTTTTGGTTTTCAACATTTACTTCCACAAGATTTTGAGTTCCAAATTTTCTCCCCATCTCATCCCTCCCCCAAACCCAAGATGGCATACATTCTGAATGCCCTTTCCCCTAATCTGCTCTCCTTTCTATTAACCCCCTCC